AAATAATATCATGATAAGTGGAGGAAAGATTGAAGTTGCCAAAGACTTAGTTTTACTTGGATCTACTATCTGCAGTCATGGAAGCAACAGTCAGGAAATCAAACTGTTGCATAAGACCTCTTTAAAGTGTTCAAGAGCAAAGATGTCAGTTTGAAGACTCAGGTGCACCTGACCCAGGCCATGATATTTTTAATTTCCCACGTGCATGTGAGAGTTGAGCAGATTATAGAAACATAAATACATTTGCATTGTGGTTTTGAAGAATACTGAAAGCACTGTGGACTGCCAGAAGAACCAACAAATCTATGTTGAAGGAAATGTAGCCAGAATGTTCCTTAAAAGCCAGGATGGCAAGACTTTGTCTCTCATACTTCACATGTTATCTCTCATACTTCTCATGTTATCAGGTGGAACCAGTCCCTGAAGAAGGACATCATTCCTGGTAAATTGAAGGTCAGCAGAAAACAAGAAAATCCCCAATGAGATGGATTGACACACTGACACTAGTAATGGGCTCAAGTGTAACAATTGTGAGAATGGCAAAGGACCTAGCAGTGTGTTATTCTGTTGTGCACAGGGTTGCTATGATTCGGAACCAACCTGACCACACCTAACAACAACAAATAGCTTGTTTAGATTAAAATTGGAATTTCTCTAAAACCACCAAGCTTTTATTTATATGTCAAGAACCATTCTATTTATTTATAATGATTTTAACTTGGATTTCAGCACTTACTTATATTTTTTGGACATACGTAGTCTACTAAAGGTTGAATGCACAAAGTTTTTATTTTTATCAATATACTTTTTACGTCTGAATTCAGAAACTGTCATTGTCCATGGTCAGGAGATTTTGGGTAAGATTTATTAGAAGAACTTACTTTATTAATGATGCCATCCATTTTCTTCTGGTATAATTATATAGTTGTAGTAAGTTAAGTGCCATGAGTCAATTCCGACCCATAGCAAACCTGTATAGGGTTTCCAAGGAGCAGCTGGTGA